ATTATTCCAAACCCTAATCTGCCTAGCTTGATATTGGGTTCTACAACTTCTCTTGAAAATCCTGCCACCCTTAAGGAAAAACTTTCCACCAAGTAAATTACATATTACACTTGCCCATTATAAAACTCGAGGTCAAGTTTTCTCAATCATGGGGAGATTTGATGCAGAACGATCATTAGCCGTTGATTAGAAATTTTATAGATTTACTGGTATCTTTCTTATTTTAGTATAATGTGATGTAATCTCCAATTTTAGTTAAAGATCTCCTTAGGATTTGATTTAGGTTTGTTAGAATCTCTGAAATTTATTTTATCTTTGTTTGCTTTTTATTATGATTTGGTTAGGATTTGATTTGCTTTCTTGGATTAGTTTTCTCTATAGTTAAAGTTATAACCTCCATGAAGTATAAGAGTATGATTATTGACAAGAAAAATTCTTGAGATGTTAAATATTTTTTAGCATGTAAAGTGCTAAAATTATGATATGTGAAGTGCCGGAGTGTGATGCCATTGGGTGTGAGGCTCTTCTTTTATCCTAGCCCTCCAATTACAATATCCTTCAATCAAATTCTCTTCTCAGACATTTTATAACTATATCCTCATCAAAAAATCACCATCATTCAAAACCATCAAAAGAATACCCAAAACCCCACTAAACAGTCCCCCAGTTTCCCTGTTTGGGTTACTGTTCCTTATGACCAAGACAAATTGCACTTTTTATTACTGTTCATTGAGTGAACAGTACTCAATAACTGCCCGTCAGGCCTCTTGCACCCTTATTAGTCAGCGTTAGTTGTTCTCTACTGCCAATCAAGTTTTCAGTGAAAGTTCTCACCATCCAAAGTCATGTTCAGATCGAAGCCCTCACTCTGATCCCATCAGAGCTGCCTCCCTCATTGTGTTAGATTAGCTATTAAGAGATAAAGAATGGTGAAGCCATCTTCCTTTGATGTGACTAGCAAGGGAAACGAGAAACAATAGGGAAGAAGAAACAAAAAGGAGTGGTGATTGTTTTGACTGGTTTAGGATTATTCGGATGAAGAGGAAGAGAGGGGACTAAGGTTATGGTTGTTCGTGGTCTCATGCCAATGGAAGTAAATCACATGTTATTGCAAATTCTTAACAAAAAAAAAATCACTCTCATATTAATATGAAAATTACAAGTGTTTTTACAGACTGATGAGGACTTCTAATTCTAATATTAATAGAGCTGAAGACTAAAATTCAGTTTGCAAATCAAATAACTAATGCTTATACAGATAGAACTTAAAAGACTCATTCAATTTTCAAATCAAATAACCAATCCTAAACTCAAGCTAATATTTAATCCTAATCCAAAAATTTCTCATTAGACTATAATTTTCATGTATGCCTCTAACCAAGTCCTGAATACCAAAGCATGCATATCAATCAAATTGTATGATGTTAATACATGTGCATGATTCGTATCAGCCGATACTGATATTGATTCACGCATACCTATAATGACGCTTACATATCAAGCAATATCAGTCATTAAATGATTTCAATCTTTCCTTCTTTTTTCGATCTCTCATACTGTGTGTAAGCATTTATTACAGCTGCTGCATGATCTTAGACTATGTTAGAAATGTTATGGTTCATTTTGGTGTCTAGGTACTTTGAGTTTACATGAAGATTTTAATCTCTCATTTCCAAACATCCACTATTCAGTGCATGCAGATGGACATGAGTGCAATCTCAAGTATTGACTTTTTCCGAGTTTTTCACAAGTGAGAAGAAGTAAATTGCTTTGTATATCTCTGGAATAAATTACATTGGTTCATGATAGGACTCTTATGATGACAGACATCAGTTTAGCTCTTCTTCTCATCTCTCATAAACTTGTACTTCACATTTCTCCTCATAGCTTGAAAAAGAATTTGAATCTCAATACACTTTCTCTATAGCCCTTAGCCAATCTGCATTAAAATAGGTTTCCTCTCCTAATACTATCATTGTACCGCCCACGTTTATCAAGACTTTCATACTTGACCTTGTGTTGCAGGAGTACTTGTTTCAGCGATGAGAATCATAACGAAAGCCATATATCCGCAAGATGCTGTTGGATTAAGAAAAAGCGCAAACCTCTACTTCGCCGTTAGCATCACAGTTATGGCAATTTGTCTCGTTGGCTACAACATTGCAGATAGGCTTCCAATTGTGCAATTTTACAAAGGCATCAAACTTCAAGCTTTAAAGGAAGAGAGAAGTGCGAAAGGCCCACTTAACGGATCGGCTTGGAGATCCACATTATGGGACATTGTGGGAAGAATCAAGTGGCCGGGATCAGGACTCGTCTTGATTTATGTCGTCACACTTTCGATATTTCCAGGATACGTCACCGAAGATGTGCACTCTGAGGCTCTCAAAGACTGGTATCCGATAATGCTCATTGCTAGTTATAATGTATTTGATTTTATTGGGAAGTCTCTGACCGCAGTGTATTTGTTCGAAAATGTCAATATTGCTGTTGGTGCATGTTTCTGGAGGTTGATGTTTTACCCTCTCTTTTTCGGTTGCTTGCATGGTCCTGATTTCTTTCGTACCGAAATTCCAGTGACGGTATTGACTTGTCTTCTTGGGTTGACTAATGGTTACTTGACATCGATCCTCATGATTCTTACTCCGAAAACTGTTCGGGTTCAGCATTCTGAGACGGCGGGAGTTGTGATGGTTTTGTTTCTAGGCGTTGGCTTGGCAACTGGCTCCATTGTGTCCTGGTTCTGGGTCATATGAGAGGCCAAGTTCTGTTACATTTGTTTTTCTTTCTTTCGATGGCCTAAATATTGTATCAAATGTATTATTAGAAAGTACAATTGATGGGTCCCTTTATGTTATCAATTTCTCATAAATGTCATTTTAACATGATTATTCAATTTTATTTCTCAGAAGCTATGTTGAAGTATCCAATTAATAAGCGGAGATCATTTGAGAGTTGATTTCAAAAATATTCACAAAACCCTCAAAAAAAATTGGGGGTGATTCTTGTAAAACTCCCTGTAAAAGTTTTGGGATATTTCTTTAATTCTCCAAGCTGGGTTTTGTACAACTCACTGCAAAGTTCAGGAGTTTGTTGAAATTCACGGTAAATTACACTCAAATACCTTATTGTTCACCCAGTGTTCCACATAAATACCTTCGGTCGTAAGCCCATCAAAATCCTATTGAAGGTAGAATTAGGATACGTCTAAAACATGAACTCGACAGGCGCAGCAATAGATTTTAAAGGGAAAAAAGAGGATCAAAATGCTCTGAAAATGACACGCCAGGCGCCGCACAAGACATTTGCATAACTGACGGCACTGAGGTGCAACTTTTAGAAACTTCTATGGTCTGTTTGGATGGAGGGTAGAGAGGGGGAGGGGAAAAGAAATCTAATTTTAACATTGTTTGGGAGTTCCATTTAGGAGGGCAGATGAGGGGAATAAGGGGGAGAATTTGAGTCAAAATCTTAAAGTTCTCCTTACTTCCCATTCATTCCCTTCCCCTAATGGTATGTTTGGGAGTTCACTTAGGGCTTGTTTGGATTGAGGGGAATAAGGGTGAAGGGAAGTTAGGAGAACCATTCATCTTCATTCACCTTAATTGGGAACATTTAGGAGGTGAAGTTATTCACCCTAGTTCCCCTTGGTTCACCCCCTAATAGTATAAAATGTTAAAAGTTGACAACTTGGTCTGCATACCAGGTTCAACATCATTATAATCAGATCATTGAAGCATTTTAACGTCGAAATGGGATGGAATATACAGAAGAACTTCAATTTGTGATTTTGATATCAGACATGTGAGCTGGTGCCTGTTTTTTGGATGTAGATACTATTACTTTGTTTGGGAGTTTACTTGTTTGGATTGAGGGGAATAAGGGTGAAGGGAAGTTAGGAGAACCATTCATCTTCATTCACCTTAATTGGGAACATTTAGGAGGTGAAGTTATTCACCCTAGTTCCCCTTGGTTCACCCCCTAATAGTATAAAATTTGTTAGCCCCCAAATTGGGGTGTAACCGTGTAACCAAGAGTAAGGGAACTCCATTCCCTTCCCTTTCATTCTCTTATATAGTTTCCCTTAACTTCCCTTCACCTCCTACAAATCCAAACAAGCTCTTAAGAAAGGAAATGAAAGTAAAAAATTCCTCTTACTTCCCTCCCCTCCATTACACCCTAATTTGGCGTGTCCTCATAAATGAAACTCTCAAACAATGTTAAAATATGATTTCTCTTCTCTTCCCCCTCTATTTACCCAAATCAATACAAAAAACAAAGCTGCTCCCCTATGCTAGCAGGAGATCTAAGAACCATTTTCATCCTCCTCGCTCTCCCCTCCTCAACGATGTCACGTAAATCAAACAAAACAGCGGCGACCACGATGATGAAAGCAAGGAATCGGAGGGCCCCATTCTCCTCAACGCCCC